CGCCGTCCTCATGCCAATTAACGTGTGAAGTATACATTTAAATCTATTTTTATATCGAATTGAAATTTGATTCGATTCATATTTAATGTGAAATTAATTTAAATTGAAAGTTATTATGCGAAATACGCTCAGATCTGAGAGTTTTAAATAGATATTTGACCTGTAAAGTTAAAGTTAAGCCTAAACATACGCAATTTTAACTGAACACTACGACTTGTCAGTTAAAACTGTCACAATTGAACGTCCGTACCGCTTGAAAGTACATTTCTGTACTGCTATATTCACATTTCGATGTAAATATGAAACGAATGGACAAGTTTGTTTGTTGTGAATTGGCAAAGTTAGATTGCCTGGAAGTTCAGTTACGGTGAAACAATGTAAACAGCCTTTTCACGTATAAAAATATTCCTTAACAACAATAATTAACAAAAATCACAAACGTACCCAATCTTACTCACTTCTTACTAATAATATAAATGCGAAAGTTTGAATGGATGGATGTTTACTAGAATTTGTAGCCTAAACTACTGAACAGATCTCAATAAAATTTGACATAGACATAGTAGCATAACCACATAGGCTAATTATTTATAAATTTCACGTGGACGGACTCGCGGGCGAAAGCTAGTAAAACATAAATTAAATATTTAGAATGTAATAAGTATTCTAACATAATTTACATTTTTATACCCATAGTTTCTTCATTGAACAAACCGACGTAAATAAGTACCTTTGACTCGGAGTGACACGTTAAAAAGAAATTGACTCGTAAATGAAAATTTAATGAATAAGGGCGGTGAGAGGGGCGCAGGGGGAGGGATGAAAGAAATCGCGAGACACGAAAAAAGACAATATTTTAATTTCCGAATCATTTTCTTTTATACATCGACATCAAAGATAGAGATATGATTTGCTCACAACAAGCAATTTGCTACAAGAAAGTGGGAAAATAAATATATCAAATAAGAGAGCGCACACATTTGACTAAAAGATCGCACAACTGTTTAGTCGCGCTTTAATTACTAAGAGCTTATATAGAGGTGCGCACACTAGTTACTTGATTTTAAATTATGCTAATTAACAATTGAATTAGCTGCGAAACAATTGACAAAAACAACTGTTCTACTCGCAATCTAGGTATTTTTATCTATAGACAGTTTTTATAGATGTTAAAGTACAGTCGGGATAATTGGTGGCGTTCCACTTTTAAAGCTTTAGTCGTTCGTGGTAGAGCCCGCTTTAACATCTTCACATGAATGGGCCGGCTTGCCCGGTGTAATACCACGACCACACAGAAAAGAGGCGTGAAGTGGAAGCAATTCCGCGTTTCTTCTGATAAATGTGGTGCCGGAGGCCTAATTTTTAGTTCCTTTACCTTTCCACCCTTTTCTTAAGAGGAAAGGATGGGAAGGAAAAGTGGATTTGATGGTGGAGGAGACGCATAGGAAGGGGAAATTTCCTCTTCATGGTGCGCATTAAGACGACGTTAAACTATAACTAACAGGCTGCAGTTTTTAAATGTGACTACAAAAAATATATGTATATAGTACACAGCTAATTGATTTTCGTTACTATCCCGTCGTTTGCGAACCTTACTGCTACCTAATTGGTTATTTGTGTAAGTAGAGTTCGTCGTAGCAATTAACAAGGCATTTCTGTAAACATATCACCGCGGATTTCCGCGACTGTACCTACATCATTAAATATTTCATTCTTCAAATATTTTTTTTGGAAGTAAGTAAATAGCGTCTATTATTTTGGAACATCAAACCGCGGGACATAAAGTGTTTTAAGGAAAACATCCATCAGTATTAACCATAACATTTCTGTGATGTCCACACTGGTTGCGTTGGCAACCAATAATAATAAAACGAGCTGTCATCCTGGAAAAGTGTTTTATTGTAATTATTTATCTCACTTCTCTTCTAAATTATGCTAATTAACAATTGAATTAGCTGCGAAACAATTGACAATAGCACAACTGTTCTACTCGAAATCTAGGTATTTTTATCTATAGACAGTTTTTATAGATGTTAAAGTACAGTCGGGATAATTGGTGGCGTTCCACTTTTAAAGCTTTAGTCGTTCGTGGTAGAGCCCGCTTTAACATCTTCACATGAATGGGCCGGCTTGCCCGGTGTAATACCACGACCACACAGAAAAGAGGCGTGAAGTGGAAGCAATTCCGCGTTTCTTCTGATAAATGTGGTGCCGGAGGCCTAATTTTTAGTTCCTTTACCTCTTCACCCTTTTCTTAAGAGGAAAGGATGGGAAGGAAAAGTGGATTTGATGGTGGAGGACGCATAGGAAGGGGAAATTTCCTCTTCGACGACGCTAAACTATAACTAACATGCTGCAGTTTTTAAATGTGACTACAAAAAATATCTGTATATAGAACACAGCTAATTGATTTTCGTTACTATCCCGTCGTTTGCGAACCTTACTGCTACCTAAATGGTTATTTGTGTAAGTAGAGTTCGTCGTAACAATTAACAAGGCATTTCTGTAAGCATATCACCGCGGATTTCCACGACTGTACCTACATCATTAAATATTTCATTCTTCAAATATTTTTTTGGAAGTAAGTAAATAGCGTCTATTATTTTGGAACATCAAACCGCGGGACATAAAGTGTTTTAAGGAAAACATCCATCAGTATTAACCATAATATTTCTCTTGTAATGCTCTCTGAGGAAATTAGGGAAAACGTCGTATTGTCCAATTATTTGTTTGATGATAATAAAAGATATGTCAAAATTAAAAAAATACATCCACATATTGAATTTATAAAATAAACTTAATATTGCTTAAATTTTATATTGTTGTGTGTATATTATTTTAAAGGTATTTTTATAGTGGACGCACACCTTTGCGTAAACTATCGCAGAACTGTTATGCGATTGTCGATTGACAAACTAAAAATTCGAGTAGTTGCCCACCTCTTTATAAGCTCATAGAAATCAAAGTGCGACTTAACAGTTGTGCTATAGTTTAGTTTCAAGTGTGCGTACGCCCTTAAGGTTTATTACAAAACGAAACGATTCATTCTCTTGTGCTTGATATTTGATCTCTATCTAGTTTCATAAAAATGATTTAAAAATCGTTTTGCGATACCAAAGAGAGCAATCTCTATTTAATTTTAAAGCCAATTTAATTGCACCGACTACGACTCAAAAGCATCTACGATCGCTCTAAGGGTATCAAAGTGGAAAATTGTGGCTTTTTTATACATTTAAGCGTGATTTTTTAATTCGAATCCAACGCCAAAAGGTTTTTAATGTTAATTATGTGGGAATACATCAAAGAAATATAGACATAAAGAAAGAAAAGTAAAAATACAAGAAAGCAAAAGGGGAATATAGTCGACTAATTGGAGGGACCCCTCCTTAATTCTTGTAAGCAAAATAAATGAGATGGTTTAGGGTTGTCACAAGTTTTCTTTTTAAATTAATATTTTCCATTAAACTCGAGATTTAAAGTTTAATATGATACGTTTAACTTATTAAAGTTCAAACTATCGCACAACTGTTTAGTCTGATTTGATTCCTATGAACTTATATGAAGGTCCGCACACTGCTAGGTTTTTAGTTGTGCAACTAAGTTGAATTGGCTGCAAAACAATGGACAATCGCACGACCGTTGTGCGATTATTTAATCAAAGGTGTGCGGACGGTCAAAAATTCCTTTTATTAAACACACGACATAATTATTTCTAAATTCGACTTGTCGGTGTAACTTTTATTACAAGTTGCAATAGTTTAGTCAAAGGTGTGCCCTCTAAGATCCATATATCATATGCGATGGTTATTGATTTGTTTTAAGCAGGGCTTTGACCAAAAGGAGTTAAACCGGTTTGTAAGTCAGTTCACTTAAGAGTTATTGGGTTCCTAAGGCTTATTGTCGGCCTAGACGAAACCTTATAAGATGTAACCTACATTGTGTACTATCTGCCCATATTGAGTACAGATTATAGCTTGTTTTTGTTATGAAAAGTGGGACATTTTTAACTTTATGTAGAAAAACACTTTTTTAATTAGATAACAATGTAAGAGCTCGGTGAAATTAGAATTAAAAAGTTTACAGAATAAAAAAATACATTTAAAAAGACAACTGTAAAACGTATGTAAAATCTTTAGATAAAAATATTAAATTATAATAAAACTGCGATGAAAACATAATAAGTACGGTTTATTTTTAATTGACTCTATATTATATTAACATTATTAATTATTAATAAATAGGTGATGAATCAACAAGTGAAAGTATTTAATAAACTGTTCTATTCACGAAAAGAAAACAAATAATGGTTTCATCATAGAGTATATCAAAAGAAAACAAAAACACCTCCAGAAATATCTTAAAACAGCGTTCTTAAGAGATGACTCAAAAAACTATTTACTTTTTTGTTAAAACATAAGTTAAAATACAACAATCACGCCTTTAATCTAAAGAGGTAGTCAGAAGTAAGTGATTTTGATTCGACGATAGCGTTGAGCTTTTTAATAAAAAGCTCAAAACTGTTGATTTACTTTAAATTATTCCTGAGTGCTGACAACATAGATTATTCGTAAGTTATTTTGGGTACGATGACTTTGACCAATTTTATCATTGAAGAAAAAATTGTTATGTCAGTTCAAATGTTTGTGATAATTGTTACCTAATAGAGATTATTTAATGCCAGGGGCGCTGACAGCAGCCGACATCGGCAACACCTTGCGCACCTCGTTGACACCTTCGCGACCTTGCGCCGAGCTGCGAGGCTGCACCACGTCCGCAAACAAACCCAATTCATATTGTCATCTCACGTTATACACAACATCTACAAAAACGATTCTTTAAATCTTCCACAAGCAACTTTCGACCTTATAGCTTTACAGATAGTGAGCAGGTGTTGTTTGCATATCGGCAGATCTAGCCTTGTATCAATTAACAAGGTATAAACAAACGATTCATTGTTTTCAAGTTGCACGCAGATGTAAAAGTGGATATCGGTCGGTGGGCTACCTCCCTCACTCAGTCGCTCCGCGTCGTTCCACCGGCGCAGATCGCGTCGCGTCCGCACTCCGCCACGGCCGATTCTATAATAACACGTCGTGTGTGATTCGGATTCCTAATTCGAATATTGAGTGATTTAATTTTCTTTTTTTAATTTCGTCTGTGCAGTGAGCCAGGATTTTTTCAGCCCGATCTAAAAGGTATTTTTTCTCTATATTTTATTTATTTTCTGTTATTATTATTTATTGTCTTATTAGATAATTTATAGGCCTGTGTAAAAGTAAAGGGAAACTCTTTTATTAGCAAAGGTAATGTTCCAATAAATTTGTCAGTTCTGCTTTCTGATCGCGTTACTTAAGGCTGTGAACTGCATTGTTCCATAGACAATTTATTTTTTTAGTTTCTTTTTTATTGTTGCATTAGTTGGAATGGTATTGTTTCCGTATTTTTTTTATTAAAACGATACAGTCAGCTGAGTTTTAATTAGTAACGTTCGTTACTTCCCGTTCGATTGATATTAGCAAAACCTTTATTTGAATTTTTATCGACACGATATGCATTTTTACAGTTTTTTTTATAAATCGTGATATTTTCGCGTGTAAAATGATCGCCAAAATATATTCAGAATTCATTTTAATGATGTATTTACCTTAGTTTAATTATAAAGGCAACATGAACTGTAATTAATTAAGTTACATTAAACATTTTTTAACATAATTTAAGCTGTGAATTAACGAGTCAAAGTTTTTAATAATGTTTCCCGAACACTTATAAAGCTTTTTGGTATTGGCTGGCAATTCATGTTTTTTTTTTAATCAATACTTGAATAATAAAATAAATGTCGCATATTTATTATTTATGATTAAGTAAAAGGCCTATTTGTTTACGAGTTTTGCTATTCCTTTGTTATTGCAGTTCTAGAATGCGATTTATTACATCGGTATCATCGAAATCAGTACTAATTAAAAATCGATATTAATTATTTTATTAACTCCTAAAATTTGAAATAAGTAACCTTATTTATGTCTTTACTTTTTTTAATACACTTGCTTCTTTAATATCCTGGATTTTTTTTATTTAAAACAATTCTAACCTTCCTTTTTAACTAGCACCAGATAGAGCTATCAAAAACCACAAAAAAGAGCGTATACAAGAAGTTTTCGCATACCAAGACTTGTTAGGATTTTCCTGGTTCTTTTTTAGTTAGCTTTTGTCTATATTTATGATACTATATTTAAATTAATCTCATACTTAAACTCCATAAGAACAGTAAAAATAGTTCTTTTCTCCGACTCCGACTTATGTTTTGGATACTTAATAGAACCCTAGAGAGACCGTTAATGTCTTACGAATAGTGAAACGACATTTAACGACACCTTAAATGATAAGCAGTGCTTACAAAGTGTTTATTAGTTTTAATATTCGGCATTAATCTCTATCTCTGAGTGCAAGTCGTAACATATTGAAATAAAGGTATCAATACAAGTCTTCAGTTATGTGTTGGACATTTGTTGTTGCGTCATTTATTTTAAGATGGGTCAGAGATAAACATCGGTTCAACAATGATGTTGACTGCGAGCGGCAGCGCAGCGCGCCCGGAACACCGCTGTTTATCCGCTGACAGACAATACACTGTTTTGTTTGTACGTAAACATTAAACATAATATTTCGGGTCGTCGAAATGTCGCCTGATTGCACTCAAACAAGGATCTCTCATCTGCAGATCGCTTCTATCAATTGGTTCTCTCAGAAAATATGTACTACATATCTTTCGTCTGTTAGACGAAACAAAAATAGGGCATCTCTGTTTAATACAAGTGCTAGCTTTCGCCCAACTGGAAATCGGTAGCCATTAACAGACCGAAGTGGAAAAAATTGCTTGACCAAGCCAAGGCCCACAAAAGGCTGTAGAGCTAAGGAAGAAGAAGAAGAAGAAGAAGCTTTCGCCCGCGACTGCGTCTGCGCCGAATTAAAAAAAAACATATTAAGTAGCCTATGTTTTCTTCCAGAATATGTTTTACGTCTTTGCCAAATTTCATCGAGATTTGTTCAGCAGTTTCTGCTACAAACTAACAAACATCCATCCAAACTTTCGGATTAATTAGTAAGAAGTGAGATTTTGGCAAATTTCATTATAAGGATCAAAGATCCTTTTTATTTGTATTGACGGACTTGCTTGTTACTTGTTTTTGTAAATAATTAAAAGTACTAAACATCACCATATTGTAGTTGGTATGATAATATTTTTTATTCTGTTTATAAAGGATGATCTGTGCCAAGTATGTAAATACCGCAAGAGACAAAGTAAAAAAAAAATAATCCCGTGGCTGTGGCAGCGCGGCTGTGAGAACGAATGCAAAGTATTTTACGAATCACATTTTTTTTGTATAATTTTGCATTTTTTAAATCAATTGCAAATGCAGTAGTGATGAATATTCTTAATAATATTTTTACCGTATAGTAAGCTCCGCATACTACTCCGTCCGCGTGCAATTAAAATCTAGACTATTCTGTACATCTATGCCAAATGATACCGAATTCCGTTCAGCAGTTTAGTCTACAAACTCTAACAAACATCCATCTATCCATCAATATAAATTTTCCCATTTACAACATTAGTAAGATTGAAGTGTCTTTAATTGTAAGACCATCTTTAAAGTTTTCAAGGCTTAATGACAGACTATTTTTTATTTCTTTTTTTGGTAGAAAAAACATATTTTGAATCAGAAATATAAATGACATCTGCTTGTTCATACAACTTGTAGCACAAGGTAAAAAAATGTAACAAGAACAGCAGACGTAAAGTATTCAAAAAATAGGTAAGAAAAATAAGGTAAACAATACACGAACAATCCCGAAGTCCGCTAACAACAACTTTTTACAAGTCGACAACAAGTTAGATAGAAGATTATATCCGAAAATGAAAAACTTTCAAAGTATGCGAATGAAATAAAAAATGAGCCAGCTAGAGTCTTCCAGCAAAAAGTGTTGGCTTTTTTGATAGCCGCGAGGGCCTTCGCTAGGCGACCACAAAAACCCACTCTTCGTGACTTTTTCATCGGCTCTGAGCTGTTTGTTGTGCGGAACACTCAAATATGACATTGAAACAGTTCGACTAAAGTTAAGGTGAGGACCAACTGTAGTGTAACGAACATTCTAACTCGGCTGTTAAATTGAAATATGAATTATATGTTCGCTTTACTATTTCGAGCATTATCCGATAATCAAAAGAAACATACAGCTAAATAAGGAACCTCTGCCTCTTCATGAAGACATTCTCGTTAGTACTTATTGACTAATTATTTAGACTAAATACATTTACTATATCTATTAATTGTTACATTAAATCAATTATTGATATTAAATGGCGACTAAGGGAAGTGTCAAGAATAAGATAATCGAAGCAGAAAGTTGTAGGTACTAACGACACGCCTGTCAACTGTGTGTTCTACTTTTTTTGTTTTTTTTTTGTCAGTAAGATACTGAATTTGTTTGTGAACTTTGAACATGCAATTGGCGTACCTTATAACTAAATAAATAATTATTCATCGTGTTTCCTAAACGCTGTCCCAACGTTATACAAGTCCATTGCATTCTCAGATGATTCTATTATTTAACCAATTCGTAGCCACATCGGTGCATTATGCATTTATTTTGAATAATTCATAACCCCTTGTGCTGCGGAGATACTATGTTAATTTTCACGAAAACGCAAATTATACAACGAAATGAAAATAGTTCCTATCCTACGAAGATCACGAGATTTAAAATGATGTAATTTCTTTTTATGAACTAGGAAAATGGATGTATGATTTTTATACGTTAATAGCGATTATGAATACTATTTTAAAGAGTGTAATTATTAATATTGTTGACCTAAAATATGAAATGTATAATTTAAAATCTTTTAAAAATAACCTATATAAAATTATTGTGTAGATAAGCGAATGTTTTAATTCAATTCTGTATTGATTTATCTACATTACACTGTCATACAATATTGGTTATCTTGTAATTTTTAATACATATTTTAATAATTATAAAACAATAGGAAACCACTCTAGTGTGTTGTTAGCTTATAAAAAATGACTTGTATTACGTAACCCTCATAGCGTCTTTATATAATCACAGCAGTAATTACTCGAAGGAATTAATATTTAAAATAACGTGCATTATCGTTGGCGCACCGTGAAGGTTAACTGCTGTTAACGTGGTTAACTTTTTGTTATTGAGTTAAGATTTTAGTTAATTATTACTTGAAAAGGAAAACAATATCAAATGACGTGTGTTTAAAATCAGTTTATAAACAAACTTACATACAAACATAAATAAATCCCAACATTCCAGGACTTTGAGGCACATATGAAAGGAGAACTATTGGTCGTAAAAAAGGTAACAAATTATATCCCTTTGAAAATTGAAAACTCATCATCCCCTACCTTATCCTACTCCTGTAGGGTCGGCACACCGGGTTTTCGTCCTCCAAATAACTCTATCATCCGTCATCACAGTCATCACACCCTTCTTTATCATGTCGCCTTTCACGCAATCCATCCATCTCTTTCCAGGTCTACCTCTACCGCTGTACCCCTCCACATTCATAACAAACGTCCTTCTTGTTACATGCGATTCATCCCTTCTCATAACATGCTAACCTTTTACTCCTTATTTTCTCAACCACTAAACTAATGAAAAGCTAATGAATGAAATATAGAAGCGTTGCTTTCCTGTAAATTTCTTTAATGAAAATCGTTATTTTTATGATTGGAAAACTAACTCAAGTTAACTGTCACCTATTTTATCTAAGCTTCAATGTTTTAGTAATTTTAAAATAATTAGGAAGTAATTAAAGTTTAGTTATGTACACAGCAATGTTAAGTTATCAACAAAACTTATTACAGAAACAGTTAGCGATTTATCTCCGGAATATTTAAGATAAAATTCAACTTACCCATTGTTTGGTTAACGCGGAAATTTCCTTGTTAGTGATTTATTAACAAGAATTCTACACCATTGTTAAATAAAGTTTTCATTGCGGTTTTCGTTTTTATGTTTGAAACAAACTACGGAGGTTATAAAAAACCTTTTTATTTGTTTTAATTACGGTCTGAAACAGCTCTTTTAAAGTACGAAGTCTTACGTAACAGAAAGACGTTCTTGTCATTTCAAATCTCGTCGTTTCAAAGGTAACACAAAAATA